CCTCCTCAATACCTATCACCCACCCTCCCCTTCCTCCCACCCCCTATGTACCCTCAGTTTGTTCTCAGTTTTTAAGAATCTCTTATGCTTTGGATCTCTCCCTCTCTAACCTTTTTTTTTTTTTTTTTTTTTTTTTTTTTTTTTTTTTCCTATTCAATTTGTTAGCTGTCGCTACTTCCTGGAGTTTCTTTTGAGGAAAATTCTTCCATTTCATCACTCGGGTAGTTCCTGTGGTGGCTCCAAACTGCAGGGCACTTCCACTGTGCTGTGTGGAATAACTTTCGTTGGTGGGCGGGGCGCAGTCAGGTTGGATGTCTGCCCCCAGCCCACTGCTGGGGCCACAATCAGACTGCTGTGTACCATATCTTGCCCTCTCCCAAGGGCAGGACACACTGTGGAGTGGTGTGGCCCCTATATGGGCTACTTGCACCCTGCCAGGCTTGTGCTGCTTCAATGGGATCTGGCATATTAGCAGGGGTGCACAGGGGCAGGAGGGGCAGGCTTAGCTTGATTTGCCATTGGAGGGGCCCTGCAGCACCGGGAGAGATGGATCCACAGAAGCACAGCATTGGGCGTTTGCAGGGTGCAAGCAAGTTCAGTGAGGGAACTGGTTCCCTTTGGAATTTCGGCTGGAGGATGGGAGGGGGAGATCATGCTTCACAGCACCTTTGCTCCCCCTCAGAGCTGAGCTTTGTCTTCTGGGGCTCAACAACTCTCCCTCCCTGCGTCCTCTCACCCTCCCCGCTCTCCGAGTGCAGAGCTGTTGACCTTTAACATTCCAGATATTAAGTCCCGATGGCTGTCAGAACTCACGGAGTCCGGCCTCTCCGCTTTTGCAAGCTAGACTTCGGGGGCTTTGCCTTGCCCATTGGGCTGCCCCTCCACTGCCCGGCTCCCTCCCGCCCGTCCATATAGCACACATTGCCTCTCCACCCTTCCTACCCTGTTCCGTGGGCCTCTTGTCTATGCTTGGCTCTGGAGAGTCTGTTCTGCTAGTCTTCAGGTGGTTTCCTGGGTTATTTAGGCAAATATGGGTGGAATCTAAGTGATCAGCAGTACAAGGTGAGCCCAGTATCCTCCTACGCCACCATCTTCTTTTTTAAATTTTTTGAGGAACCTCCATAATGTTTTCCACAGTGGCTGTACCACCTCTGTTCTCAATAACAGTAAATGAGGGTTCCTTTTTTGTTTTTTACATCCTCACCTTGTATGTTTGATATTAGACATTCTGACGGGTATAAAGTGATATGTCATTGTGGTTTTAATTTGCATTTCCCTGATAGTGATGTTGAGCATCTCTTCTTTTGTCTGTTGGCCATCTGTATGTTTTCTTTGGGAAAATACCTTTCAGTTCCCCTGTCCACTTTTTAATTAGATTATTTGTTTTGGTGTTAAGTTGTATAAGTTGTTTACATTATTTTAGATGTTATCCTGATATTAGATATGACATTTGCAAATATCTTCTCCTATTCAGTAGATACACTTTTTGTTTTGCTGATGGTTTCCTTTCCTGTCTACAAGGTTTTTATTTTGCTATAGTCCCAATAGTATAATTTTACTTTTGTTTCCTTTGCCAGACAAGACATCTAAAAAATATTTTTATGGTTGATGTTAAATAAATTACTGCCTATGTTTTCTTCTAGGAATTTTATGGTTTGAGGTCTTACACTTAGATATTTAATCCATTTTGAGTTTATTTTTGTGTATGATGTAAGAAAATGGTCAAGTTTCATTATTTTCATGTAGCTGTGCATTTTTCCAACACCATTTGTTGAAGAGACTGTCTTTTTCTCATTGGATATTCTTGCCTCCTTTATCATAGATTAATTGGCCATAAAAGCATGGATTTATTTCTGAACTCTGTTTAGTTCCATTGATATATGTGTCTATTTTTGTGTCAGTAAAATGCTGTTTTGATTATTCTGTAGTATATCTTTAAACCTGGGATTGTGATGTCTCCAGTTTTGTTCATTTTTGAGATTGCTTTTGGGCATTCAGGGTCTTCTGTGGTTCCATAGATATTTTAAGATTATTTTTTTCTAATTCTGTGAAAACAAATTGGTATTTTGATAAAGATTGCATTCAATTTGTAGACTGCTTTGGGTAGTATGGACATTTCAACAATACTGGTTCTTCCACGTCATGAGCATGGAATCCCTTTTCATTTGTTTGTGTCATCTTCAATTTCTTGCATCAGTGGTTTGTAGTTTTTGGAGTAGATTGCTCACCTCCTTGGTTAAGTTTATTCCTAGGCATTTTACTCTTTTTTGTCCAATGGTCAGTGGACTTGTTTTATTTATTTTTCTGATATTTCTTTATAAGTATTATAGAAATGCAACAGATTTTGGTATATTAATTTTGTATTCCATGTCTTTACTGAATTCATTTATCAGTTCTACTAGTTTTTGGTTGAAATGTTTAGGGTTTTCTCTATATATTATGTCATCTGCTGATACTGAAAGTTTTACTTCTTCCTTACCAAGTTGGATGCCTTTTCTTTTTCTTGTCTGGTTTCTGTGGCTAGGACTTTAGTTCTATGTTGAATAACAATAGTAAGAGTAGACATCCTTGTCTTGTTTATGATCTTAG